CAATGCATCTGACTTCTGTCCTTCCATCCATCAGTCAGTTAGCCGGTCATGCAGTCAGTCTGTCAGTCTTTCAGTTTGTCAGTCTTGCAGCGAGTCGTTCGTCGTTCATCATTGCGGTGTGTGCGCTGTTGAAAATTAACAATTACGCACCGCAAAAAGGAGGCAGAGCTGCGCCCCATGTTGCGGGCTATAAAAATAAACTATGCCGCAGGCATTACAGCGGAAACGGAAGTGCGCATTAAAATTGTGCTCGGCTGGCATGTGTGTGTGTGTGGACCCGCAATTAGCAACTCACACGTGCACCCACAGTTATGTGTGTGAGTAATTAAAACGGAGTGTGCGCATTTAATAAGTTAAGCGTTCCCTCCTCACCTCAATGGACTCGCACAAATACACTGCCAAGGGAGTGCAATTAATTATAAAACTATTGGAAGTGAGATTTAAATCTATTTAAAATGAAGAAAAATATTATAATTTTTAATTTGAGACATTGAATAATTAAATCATAACATGAACAATGAAGCTATTATAGCAAATTCGTCTTTATAATCCGGAAAAGATTTTAGTAACTGATCTAAAAAGGACTTTCATATTTTTCTGCTCAGTGTTTCACAGCAGTCGCATAGTTGTGATATAATTTTTTTATGCTCATTCCCTGTTAAGCCTGATTCCTGTATAAATCAGCCATACTTTACGTCCGGTGATATGGCTGGGCTTTCACCTAAAGGCTTATGGTGTCCGAAAATTTACAGCCAGTTGGCGTGAAATAAATATTTAAAAACGATACAGAGAAGCGACAATGGAAAATATGTAGGTGATATCGGTAGGTCGATGAGGCTGAAAGCTTAACTATATACAATGTAGCAAGCATCTTGTGATTTTCATAATTCTACCACCCCATTTTACATAGGCGTAAAGGCGCATAACTGGCGGCGTTTTTTCGGTTTGACCTTCCTTGCCAACGCGGCGTATGCGCAACTTCCGGCAGGAATGCTGCATAAATGCGAAACTACAGAAGGCTGACTCCATAATGGGGAAAATAAGCAATTAAATTACGTTGCCCCGGCACCTTTATTTATATGCTGCATCGCCTAGGGGCAAGAGAGGAGAAACAACAGCACAAACAGCAGCGTTAAGTATAAAATTTCCATTAAAATGAAATTATGTGCGTCAAAACTGAATTTGCATTATTTAGCGAATGCATTTTATTCGCTCATTGTTATGCACCCCCGCGCACAATTGGATGCCATGACAAAATGGCTGCCATTGCAATCGCTAAATTGTTAATTACACGGAATCTACGATGCCAAATTGCATGGGAATTTTCCAATTGGTTTCCTATCCGCACGCACAGCTCAATGCGATAAATTTAAATAAATACCTACGATCCCTCAGACCCGTTTAGCCAACGTCAATGGAGTTAAAAACAGGCTGTAGGTTTACGACATCAAAAAATAGTAATTGCCATTTGTTTTTAGGAATGGTAGATGCATCAGGCTATATACTATATATAAGGTTGGCTTTGATTTTGCTGCGTGTTCGAGGCAATTTGTCTCTCAGCTGATTTTGTTGATTCATGCCACATTGTCATGATTTTATTTAGCCAGTAAACAAATGGTCAAACGCAGCTTCTGAACTGTGATATTATTTTTTTTACCAATTGTCAAAATAAAATCGTCTAAATATTTGTTCTTTCAAAAGAAAGGAGAGTTTATTGTAATTAAGTGGGTTGAACTGATTAAATTTTGAACAAAAAAGCCTGCAAAGTTGGATAACAACATCCGTTTGTTTGTCCAGCAATTGTGTGTGTTTAATTAGATAATAAATTAACTTTCATTCATTTAAAGAGACAAAAAAATCCAAATAAACTGACAGCTAATTTTTTATATATTTTAATCGTTTTGCGGTCTAAAAAGAAGTCTACTTTAATAGACACACTTTTTATGCTTTAATCTTTAAAACAGAAATATTAAATTCACCTTTTTTAAATGATTCCACAAATAGCTAAACAAAATTAACTGAAAGAGATTATAGAGTAGAAAAGGAACTTCACAGAGCAATCGATTGTGGCACGCTCAGCATTTTTTATTTGTTTGCTCATCCCGAATGCTTTTCAACATGTTTTCCTGCTTTCCGGATGACTTGCGGCATAGCCAGGACTACAAAAATATTTTATTCCGTTTCATTTATATGTTCTTCTAGGGCGCGAAATTAATGTGAGTCCTTGAATTTTTCATAAACTGCCAATTCAACAGAAAGTTAGCACAAGCACAAACACACAGCTCACACCTCGAACCTTTCACTGAAATCGACAGATATAGAGAGTAGCCCGGAAAAGTTGGCAGAAAAGTTCAGAGGACCAGAGTGGGTGGCAAGTTCTTTTTAAAAAGCATCTTAATCAGCAGTAAATTCACAACTAATCAGTGACCCCATTGTCTGACCCTTATTCCTGCTGCTTCTCCAATACGGTTTCGCAATTGAAGTGCCCGATCACATATTTGTAAGCAGCGCATTAGCGAGATGCGGACAAAGATGCCATGGCTGTGGGGCAACTTCCAACTTATTGCAACATAATTACAAGTTGCAAGTGCTGTGAGGCATAATAAGTTGGTACAGTGGGGCGTATGAGTGATGCAGCCAGATCGATATCAAGGATGATTCACGGCAGTTGATATTCTCACAGTTTTTAAGAGTACTAATTAGAAAATAACTATTCATTTTAGAGCAAACCTTTGAGATTTCTCTTAAATTCATTAAAGATTTTCCAAGAGTTTCCCCTCAATCTCTTTCGAGCATAGATTGTTTTCTTTTACCCATACAATACCAATAATCAAATCCAATTATTACACAAAATAATATTATCCTTTGCAATAATTGTATTTAAATGAAATTGCAAATATTTGGGATTTCTTTAGCAGCTAAAAACGCTCATCTCTGGCCGAGATTCGGTTGGTTCTGTCTGGGCCAGCGCATTGAACTTACTTTTAATTATGCTGGCCACATGGACACGGACATTGTTTGCGCTTTGCCTGGCTCTTGGCTTAATAAATTGCAATTGTTTGCAAGCAAACTTTGCTCGCTCGGCTTTCAGGGGCGCCCTGTCCTGTTGGCCCAGTTCTGTTTGTTCTCCGGCTGTGGCTGTGTGGATTTTGTAATTGGTTTGGTCTGCATTTGACAAAAGGAATAAAATAAAAGAGTCCAAAAAACGGAGAGTCGAAAAAATGGAATCAAGCGCAAGAAAGTTTAGCATTATGCCCAGCGACGGGCGGCAAACAAAGTTTTCGCAAACATTCACTCGCAGGGAATCCACTTTTTTTTGCGTTTCGTTTCGTGTGCGGTTAACGAAGCAAATAGAAAAATGACCATAGGAAAATGTTGCAAATGCTGCTGGGCTACAAATATTTACCGAAAAGTTTCATAAACCAAATGGCCAGCCAGTCAGTCAGAAGTTAGGTCAAACCTCTCTTTTGATTTTGCCATTTAATAAGCAATTGTTGCTGCTGTAACATCTAGATTTTGGAAACATGATTAAAATGCCAACATGAAACTAAGTAGAAAAACGAAACAGAAACTATGCCAGCATCCGAGGGTAGACAGTGCCGAAAATGGTTCAAATTATAGCAAAATAACGATATGCTGGTCACTGATATGCAACAGATACGCTGCCAGACAAAGTAAACAAACAAACTGGGAAGGCAGCAACAATGAATGGACATGAGTGCATCCAGTTTTGGGTGAAAGGTCTCCTCAAATCCAGATAGCAAAACCGAAGGCCCAGGATGCAGGGCCAGGTCCTGGCAAGCGGAAGGACCAGGTCCAACATGTTATTGTTTGCATTTTGTTTTCTCATGCCATCGCACCCACACTCGCCACTAACCAAGAATTTGTTTCGAATTGCAAAAATGGGAAATTCGCATCAAAAAAGGAATTCTTTTTTTTTAATACAGACAATGAATAAAAATTGAAACAAATTTTGTTGTGAACAAATATTAGTGATGTAAATATTGCTGAATTTTTTAAATATTTGTATTTAGTTTCAAGTTTATACTGCAGTCTGTATTCTTCTATATTTTCCACTGTGTACTCTTCCAATCCCTGGTTCACTTGGCCAGCAAAAATATTTGGTTAGAAGACGAAACTCCAAAAAAAACCTGAGAGGCAGAGAGGAAACAAAGAAAGCTAAACAAATGCTGACTCTGCCACCGCAAGTAATAGGCCAAGGCTGCCAGGGAGTCGAGGTAACAAATAATAACTGAGCACTTCCTTCTTCCGCTTGGCACTCTCTCCTCCTCTTTGTTCCTGTCGGACTGGACATGGAATTGTTTAAATTATTTACACAAGCTGGAAAATTAAAATGGACAGCTGCTGTTTGGGGCCAGTGGCGGCAATGGAGTAGCAGTCATTGTTATGACTGTTGCAACCGCTTGGGTCAAGTGTTGTGTGTTGTGGCACGTACTGTACATGGCTGTGGAGCCGGATGGTCTGGAGTGGACTGAAGTGGAGTGGACTGGACTGGAGTAGAGTTGAGTGGACTGGACGGGACTGGAGAGGAGCTAGCTGTAACTGCTCCAGCTGTAGTTCATAACTTTTCATTTTTCCCTCTCGGATGGCACGCTTCCGACATCTTCTCTCGTTCTTTTGGGGCTTATCCTTTGTGGCAGGCAAATTTTAATTATTAGCAGGCAGTCCGGGAATGGGTCTCACTTCGACTCGGACTCTGATTTGGATTCTGATTCCGATGGCAAGTCTGAGTCTGAGTTTTATGAGTTTGATTGTTCCTCAGGTCCTTAGGCATTCCGTATGCGTAGTGCGTGCGTCTGTATCTAATTGAAAAAATCAAGCATACGCCATGTTGTGCCATTGTTTTTGACGAAACACAAGTCGGCAATCAGATGGCCATAATGCTCAGCTGCTGCTACATATTGCACAGCCTGGAGGGCAGGAAAATCTAATGAAAAGAATAGTACACTGGGAAATAAATTTATTTAATTTCTATGAACTTTAACTGTTGTATTTATATTTAGAATTAAATTTAATAATAGGTGTAATCAAGATCAGCAGGCATCTTGGGAAACATCTCATGGAAAACTCTTCTAATAACATGATATTTGGCATATAGTCCACCGCCCGGCGGTAGATTTTCTATTTCCCCTGCCTTTCGATCCATGAGAACTAGCAGATTATGAAAGAAATATATATCGTTCTTCTCAATGAGTTCCCTTGTAAGTTCCTCAATTTTATGATCAAGAATACGATCGGCTGTCACAGCATCTTCACTGATCTTCGGTGCGCCCGGAAGTAGCAACAGCATCAGTGTCATATTATCTCTACTATCCTTGTGAAGGCATATATCCAGAATACTATTGACAATCTCTGGCAGATCGTCGGTCACAAGGAGCCGTGAATGGATATAGGCACAGACTTCTTGGCTGCTCATCACATCCCATATGCCATCGCAGGCAATAACCACAAATTCATCGCATACCACACGATCGCATTCGAATATATCGGGTTCCGGAGAGACCATTTGTTCGCAGGGCTGCCAGTGGATGCGTTTGTACTGAAAGTCACCCAATGCCCGAGATACGGCCAGATTACCGTTCACTCGATCTATGATAACCGTGCCACCGGCCTTTTTTATGCGGGCCTTCTCCTTGGGCGAAGTCGGTCTATGATCCACGGTGCTAATTGAGGCCTTTCCCTTCCGGCAAAGCACAGCCCGAGAATCGCCGCAATTGACCAAGTACATTTTCTTTGGCGTAACCAGGACACAAGTGGCCGTCGTTCCACCCGCCGTCATTGCCGTCGTTGCACCTGGCTTATCCCATTTCATCTTTCGCATCTGCGCATCCAGCTGAATGTAGCCCTCTCGTAACGCCTCCTTGAACTCGGCTTTAGAAAATTGATCTGTATTTGTTATGGTGGTCAGCAGATTCTCGGCACAATGGATTGCTATATGATCACCGGCATGGCCATCGAACACACCAAAAAATGACAGATCTTCGTAGGGTTTCCTAAGGCCACAAGCAGCGATGTGTTTATCCTCCATTTCTGTTCGCCACCCTTGCATTGAACTAACGCAGTAACGAAGTCCATTGCCCTCGCCCACGTGCACATCCTTTTCCGTTTCCGGTTTTGCGGCATAGCTGCCCATTTTGTGGATTCCCTCACACTCTAAATTTGTAATTAAATTTTAGGGCTTGTCGTATGTGGGGAATATATATTTCCACATTCTTTGTATTGTACTTAAAGTTTCTGACATTAATAGAAAGACATATTTTTGACACGAAATGAAATGAAAGAAATTTCTCTTTGTGTAAAGTCGACTCCTGCCGAATCATCCAACTTTTGTTCTAGCTAGTGGAAGTTATTGCTTTTGCACATTTTCAGAATCTTGGGCGAGGCTCCATTAATCGATGACAATTCAATTAGCATCGGAGTCCATAAGGACACAAAAGATCCCCACTTCCAGGATGAATCTTACTCCCTATCCCGCTCCTCAACAAAATTCCTTTGAACCATTCGCTCGGTGTGGGAATTGAATGGCCATAAGAAAGTTTATCGTTTAATTGGACAGGCAAATAGGCAGCCGGAGTCGTTGAGAGTCTAAATGTCAGTTGGTTCCACTCGCTGTTCGCCTTCTGCCAAACAATGAGCTAAATTTTCCATGGAAAACTACTAAGTAAGCTTGTTAATTAAATACGCATTACCGCCCCTGTAATTGCCTGTGACGCGCTGCTGCTTAGCAACAACTACAACTACTAATGAAATCTGGGAAAAACAGGTGAGGAGTAGGGATTGGATGACTGGTTTTGTTGGTGCTATTGGAATGGGAGGGGAGGACACGAACTAATTGTTAAAGCCAAGTGCAAAGTTTTTGCACTCTCAACATCTCAGTTTCACTCGACCCCATCCGATTTCCCTGTGCACTTGTCAGGGTATCAGGGCGAGAGTAAGTACAGAAAATATAATTAAATGCGGGTCTCAACGATCTGAGTATCACAGAAATCTCGGAAATGTAGTATATTACTTGAAACAAAGTTTGAAAAATGGGTTTACTCATTAGGTATACATTTCTTTTGATCTTTGATCTTTCCTTTCCTAGTTAATAAATCTAAGAAAAATCTAGGCAACATTAACATTAATTACCCAGTGATGCAGACTACATTTCCGGTAATTTTAAAATCAAATATGGTCTTAATGATCCTTGCAGCTCACGCGAGTTTCCAGCAAACAACTAGAAATTAATTAGCGCATAATTTATGGCCACCAAAATGCACAGCCGCAACCCATTTGCATACACACAAATCATCAATCAGGGCTCCAGAAAACTCCAGAAATGAGTTGCGGAATGGAATGCATCAAGCTCAGGCTAAATGCCAGCGTGGCAAAAAAGGTTAATGGGTTGCAATATCAACATCAACATCAACATCAAGTCGGTTCGTCGGTCGTCAGCGTCGACGTCTGCATCACACAGCTTATTGTTTGCATTGTTTTCCTGCGGGGAAAAAGCCCCCAAGGTGGACAAAAAACAAAAACACCGGGCTTAACGGGGGCTAAAAATATGCGCACACCGCAGGTAAATGTTGGTAATTTGTGACTTGGAATGTTTTTCATCGTCTGCCTTGGCGGGCACTGCGGAGTTTTACGGCTATGTTCCCTTCTAACACGACACTCGCCCATTTAACGCTTTATGGCATCGGATTTATGCTTGGCGATATGCAAAACTGCAAAAAACACTGAATGCAATTGCATGCAAATGCCTTGGAAAGCATGGGGAATTTACCACAGGAAACTGAAATAAAACAAGGCGGGAATATTGAATTGGCCTGGGGACAAGGAAATCGTATTAAGTAGGAAGGTCTTAACCTGTTGGGGGAACTCAAGACATTGTACTGATCAAGATGTCATAAGGAAATCGACATCTTTTGTTACAGAAATAATAATAATTACACATGATCTTTGATCTTTTTTCCCTTACAGGAAATTAATATAGTAAGTCAGAGACTAATGACTTCAACTTACAAGTTACAAATACTGTAAATGCTAAACCAAACCATGTTTATAACTTTAATTAAGACCTTGGCCTTAGTGTCCATTGATATTAGTAATTTACTTGACAGTGAATATGCATAAGCGGCTTAAAACAAATGTGATGACACAACTTGGCTTTTAGCAAAGGCCAGACTACATATTTTCTGAAGTATTAGACTAAGCACCTTAATATTAATTACCAAATGTTGCCATACTTTCTATGCCACCTTACATACTGCAATGGAAGTAATGACACTGAAAAGGTCATCAAAAGACAACTGTTGCAGGCTTTTGTAAGAGTTGTAAATAATTGTAACCTAAGAATTGAAAAATCCCATTAAATCCCAACAATTTACATAATATCATCTTCAATTAAGGGAAACCCATTCAGTTGCAGTTCATGGGAGTTCAAACACTCAATTAAAGCCAACAAATTATTCACTTTTAGTTAGTTTTATCTTTGCGCTTGAGTTTAGTAGAGAGTTTAATCATATTTGGCTCCATTGTCCTACCTGATGCTACCCCTCCCTTTCCCATTCCCTTCTGACCAACTCGGGTGTCCTTAAGCTGGACCGAGCACCAGAGCGCTGTGCTTTTATTTACCCCTTTAGCTTTTGCTTTGGCTTATACAAGTGTGGCTCTCACCCTCCCCTCTTGCCAAATACCGAGTGCAGTCGCTTCGACCTGCATGTTATTCATGGCTAAACACACACACACACGTACACATACATGCATACAGGTTGACCTCAAACCGCGACCCCCATAACCCTCCATCCTGGAGGACATCACCCTCAACATCTAACTGGCAACTGCCAGACCAACAATTTTCTAAACTCGCGCGCTGTGCACGTTATAAAAAATACGGCAACTTGGGGCAGGTTGTTGATCACACAGAACCGAAAAAAGTTTAAGATAAATAAATAAAACTAATACATTTAATACTAAATATTAAATTTAATTCACTAAGCAGTTATTACCTTTGAATAAAAATGTTTTGAGACCATTAAAGTAATTAAGCAACCGTTGCAACCTTCAGTCTGTAGTACTTAATCTGTTTCTTTAACTTATTTCAAATATTTTCTGTTAAAGTATTAATTATTTTCTTAGGTTAATAAATTCCAGTGCATTTCCCCATATGGGGACACTGGTGTAGTGGGTGTTTGGTGGAAAAAATGGGCGGCTTGTGGGCGTTGGGCGGAGGCTGACTGGCGCGCTAAGCTGTGCTAAACATTCCCTAAATATATTTCGCAACAGCTCCTCCGCACACGAGATAAGCGGCGCACATACCACACCGACCTGAACCTGAACATGAAGATAGTACAGGTGCTGTAGAGAAAAGCGGTGGAAAAGCGAGGGAAAAGGCATTGCCAGAGTAGTGGTGGAAAAGTGGCAGATAGCTGGTGAAAAAAAGAGGAGGAAAAGCGGCACGGGTTTTGCGCTAAGAGAGCTCTGAGAGAACAGAGCACACCGAGCAATGAAACTTTTTGCGCCTGAATATTTTTGCAAAACTATTCACAGTTGATTTTTCACCTGATGCTTTTCATCCTTGTGCCGGTGTGAGTGGGTTTTAGTGTATGTGTGAGAGTGCACCTGCAGCACCGAGTCGGTGTGAGTGCTTAAAATATCTGTGCGGCAGGTAGTCCTCACCCGAAAATATCCGACTCTTGGCCAGCAGTGTTCTGACCTTCTTTCAGGACCAACTTAAATGCAGCTTCTATGGCAGCCGAAATTTGCAGATACCTAACCTGGATAGTTTCCGGTTAGTTTTAAAGAGTTAATTGGAATTATATGGCTTGCGATATAAAATACAATGAGAGGATTATAAATAAAAAATGTTCGAAATTATAGTTCCTAGTAAATATAACTCTGCAGTTATATGTCAGAAGCTTGAAACGATGTGAAGGAGTCATTTCCAACCCTATAAATCATATATATTATTTATCAGCATCAGCAGCCGGATCAATCTAGCTATGTACGACAAAAAATTTAAGTTTTTCAAAATTTTACATTTTTTTACTTCGTTAAAATTGTCAAAAATTAGCTAAATTTTGAATTTTTTTAAAACTTTAAATAGATTATGCAGATTTATTATCATAATAAAAACTAGCATAGGAAAGCTTTCCGAATTGAAATTAATGCATTTTTGGCTTAGTTATGATCAATCGAATTTAGCAAGAGTACACAAACTTCGGCTACCCGACTTACCCATATTTCCTAGTCACTTTGCTACCTTTTCAAATAAAATTAGTTAAGTAAATTCTAAACTAGACCTTCTTTAAATTATCTGCATGTAGCCCTTGCATTCCCCTACTCTTTCATACTAACATAAATCTTATTACGACACCAACTTGAACCTTAATTTATCATTTGCAATTGCAGATATGGTCTCCTGGGTGCCTCTGGATGTGGAAAAACAACGCTTCTCAGTTGCATCGTCGGACGACGTCGCCTCAATTCGGGTGAGATTTGGGTGCTCGGCGGACGTCCAGGATCGCGTGGTTCTGGAGTGCCAGGACCTCGAATTGGCTATATGCCACAGGTGAGTCGACCTCACCAGAATGCAGACATTTTTCACCTGCAATTTCAGCTGGTAGCTGGTGAATTTTTTATTGTGCCTTTTATTACCAACATGCCCGGACTCGACTAAATTAAATAAGAGCAATAAAATGGCAAAAGCACAAAAGAAAACATATACCCGGCAAAGTTTTAAATGCCTCTCAGTCAGGGGATGAGGATTCAGAAGGAGTGAAAGCAAGCAAAACTTTTAATTTCCACAATCCAAAAGAATATCCCAACTTTACTTAAATTGGCTTGACATTGCACAGCATTATTAAACCGATTGAAAGGATTTAATATATTATTGAATGTAATTATTAATTATGTGGCGAATGATTACATTTAAGTTGATGCTTTCATTATCATTATTCGAACAATATCATGTTATTTTATTAAATAGTCATAGTTGCTGTAGTTTACATTAACATAAATTACTTGCAAAAGTATATTTATTTCTTTAACATACTTCGACATTTAACTATTAAACTTGAAGAATAGGTTCATTATACGATTTACTTTTCCCAAAAATATGACTTTTGTGCCACAGTTCCAGGGCTCAGTTGTCATAAAAAATCAACTCCGGAAAGTAGGCAACACTTTTGAAGTGAGACTTGATGAAAAACTCTTGTATTGTGCCCGGTGCTAATATAATTTCCGTATTCCATTTTTGCCTTTATTGCAGGAGATAGCCCTTTACGGCGAATTCACAATGCGTGAGACTTTAATCTACTTTGGCATCATTTCGGCCATGGCCCGCAGCGACATCGAGGATCGCACCGAATTCCTCCTAAAATTGCTCAATTTGCCAAATGCGTCGAAATTTGTCAAGAATCTTAGTGGTGGCCAACAGCGAAGAGTGAGTCTGGCAGTGGCCCTGCTCCACGAACCGGAGCTCCTCATCCTGGATGAGCCCACAGTGGGCGTGGATCCCGTATTGCGACAGAGGTGAGTACTGAATTTAATGGGTGGTGCACTGGAAAAAATGAATATGACATGTTGGACATAGATAGAATATACCTCCTCACAAATTTCCAAGCTTAGATAATCCTTTCATTCAGTGCCTACAAAACTATGACATTTGTCAATTGATTAACTCTTTATCTTTGTCGATTACAGCATCTGGGATCATTTGGTGGACATTACGAAAAATGGTCATACGACTGTGATAATCACCACACATTACATCGACGAATGTGCCCAGGCACATATGGTAAGTAGCCCAAAAGATTTCCCTGATTTCCCAGGACACGATGAACAGGATTTTGGGAAATGGGGTATGGCAGGCAAGTGTCAATGGCTTTTGGCGCCCACGCATTGTTTGGCCGTGTGATTTATGGCCAGGCGGAACATCTATGTGTAATATGCGGCGTATGAGCAATATTATGGTGACAGTGCCAAGGTGAAAGTTCAGCTATCAGCACTACCGAGGGCTGTCAACATGCGGTGCTAAGTGCTTCCGCTCGCTCTCTCTCTCTCCTCTGGCAAATTTGTATCCTGCCATCCGTTAGCTGCAGCAGCAGCAGCAGCAGCAAATCCGTGTCCTGTCCGAAAAGAAAAAAAAACCGAAAAATGAATCTCGCAAAGAGAAAAGCCGAGGAGTAGAATATTACCGGCGGCTGTCTCTCCCGTTGACCCATGGCCATGGCAGGATTTACGAGGCATTTCCGAGCGAGACACATTGCAGAATTTACTTCAGATTTATTAATGCCACCGACAGAACAGATGCACGTAGAATAATAAGTGAAAAAATTAATAAGGCCTAAGATATAGTATATTTATTATTGAGAAATAAATAAGTATATAGGCAACATGATTATACAATTCTCAAAATTGTATTTAAATAAAAAGTTTGCCTAGAACCTAGTATCAAAATCTTCTTAAAGGTTTCAAGATTTAATTAATACAATATCAGAAATTATTTCGACGTACAAACTTCGATTTTGATAATAGCATAATTATGTTACCATAAATTTTCTCCAAGTGCTATAACGATGCAGGGGTGTGATCTGGATAGGGAAATATAACTGCGCTAGTCATTTAATGCCTGCTGCAAACAATGAACTTGAATACAGGCGAAAAAAAAAATAAATAACATACGTGAAGGGGAAAAATACGGGAATAAATCGTGACAAAGCTCGCAAACAAACGCCCATCACAATGGATAGTTGGACAGGACAGGCAGATACATAGATACATGGCTCTGAGATATAGGCACAGATACAAATACAGATACTTGGCAAAAACACGCACAGGATATCTGCGCACATAAAACAAACAAAATCCTTACCCAGGGACACACGCAAGCTCAAGTGAAGTGTGAGATGGTTGAATATATCAATGACAACACTATGAAAAAGATTGATGTGGGAAGCACAGAAGACGGTGTGTGAGATTGCCAGGAGATCGACACTCAAGACACTTCACAGCGAAGCCAAGTTGTACACCGTTTATGGTGATTGATTGGGTGACAAAAATTATTCATCAAAAGTGTATTTATATTTGTTCTTTTTAAAGAAATCTACAAGGGAATTAAGGGATTTAAAAGCACAAGGAAATAAGTAAACTAAATTTTTAAAAGGAGTGAACTTAGATAACTTGAGAAGACTTTGAATATATATTTTTATATTATTTGTAAAAAGATTTCCATGTCACAATTTAAATTTCCAAGATCCATACAATATTTTCTATGTAACTCAACACCCATTACTACATTCCAGCTTAAATGATTGATGGTTTGCCGAAAAGTATTTACCAAAAAATATTTACTTGGGCCGTCCCTTAGCTTTTAGCTAATATTTATTATTAAAAAGTACATTGCAGCATTTTCCTTGCCCCTGATTAAATGCTAAATAAATTTATAAGAGCTTTAAAGGTTCCATTTTCTTTCATACATACATAATTCATATAAAGTCCTTGTGGGAATGATTCCCGTAATACAAAAACAATCAGCCGGTTTTTGGGTCCTGAGCCCTCTAACCCCACTTGACCCCAAAGGACATTCAGGGATCTAAATGGCTCACATGCTGTGCCGGCTGTGGAGTGACAACACGTTCTCGAACCACACACCACCCCCTCTGGGGGATGAACCCTTTTTTTTTTGGGGAAAATCCCCATGCCACCGTCGCCGCACATGATCTGGCGGATGGGTGGGTTGCCGCCGCCGTTGTCACTCCGCGGTTTGCCGTGCCGCCGAAAGTCATTGCGGTAAAGAGTTATGGCCAATAAACAAAATCACTGCCAGGAATAGAAAACTCTCCGCTTTTGTTTGCGGGCAATCGACATTCAGCATTCGGCACTTGGGAATCGCACCGTTGGTATTGGGTGTCCTGTCTGGATGCCAGGAAGCCCGTTGAATGCCATCGAATGCCGTCGGATGACAAACAAAACAATCGACTGAGCCGCACTCACACAGTCCATAAAGCCAGGCACGAGGAAGATCGAAGCATCCTCCTAGCCCCCAAGTTAATCCAAAATGCCAAAGCGATGAAATGTGAATTTAATGCGAATTGTTAGACCAAATTTATGGTTTATGGGTTTCACTGCCGGTTAGGGTCTATAAAAATCTAACTTGCGGAAGAACTTCTCACTCTCTATACGCGTATGCAAAGCCCCCTGGGGGATTCCCCCCAGCTATTGGGATGCTGTAAGTTGTTGTGTCTGTGTAACTTCTGGTGACAGTGTTTAATTGCTCATATTGAACACGTGTTTGGCCACGAAGCTGAGAGCTGGAAAAGCAAGCGGGTCTCAGCTTGGATTGTGCACGCCTCAGTTGGCTAAGGCTACACTGAGAGAAACACCAAAAAACTTCTTGTTTACTGGAATATTTTGTAACCATTTAATACTTCCTTAACTTCATAAAATATACACTCCCATAAGGCTTGAGTTTTTCACTAAGTTTTAACCTTTAGCTTATAATTCTTTTCTGTGCATGGGTATTATGGCTGGCAGCAAATTGCTTTTTCAGCTTTGTCACTTTCTCGTGGCACGCTTTGCTTTTGGCCAAAAGCTCCAGTTGAAGCCGGGACAGAACAGGATGAGACTTTGCTTCGTCCAAGGTAGTTATCTCAACATATTTTGGCCAATTCTGCACGTCACGAGGACTTTGCTAGAGTTTTTCCCTGGACCACTGGACCTTCCCTCTGTATTGCGGGAATTTTGTCTTTGTTTTTTTCTTTTTGTTGTCGCCTTTTCTTTGTTTTGGGCGCCTTTTTTCTGTTGAGTCAACAGAATTGCGTGTCCAAAATGGGATTCCCCTTGGCCAAACTCGGGGCTCAATTCCGCACAGACAGTCACATAAATTTAACTGTCCCGTGGACCTGATTGAGCGAGGCACTTCAATCGTCACCTATGGACGGCACTTGATCTATTTCCAGTACCCAGAACCAAAGCCGGGCATTAAAAATGATTATTGCATGCTGTGCAATTTATAAGCTGAAAATTCATGTGGCAATAAAAATTATATGGCCAAAAAATGCTATTAGTTTTTGCAGCAGCTTCGACAGCTTCTGCTATTCGCCTCTGATGCGGATGCACTCAAACAAAAGCAGGAGCATTAACCATAATCGTAAAATGCATTTACGGCTGCATCCCAATCCTCCAGTGTGTGTGTGTGTGTGTGTTGTTAAAACTTTTGCCGTGCTTAAATTCGGTTATTGTTATTTGTATGGTATGGCGATTAAAAGTTTTATTTTAATTGAAAAATATTTATGAACATTAAAAATTTGTACGTGTTTCTGGCAGAGAATATACCGCATGCGGTGCCATCGTCTTCACAAATGTTTGGCCATGTTCATGAGAATATTATTATTTAATGTGCGAAAAAGCTGGTTTATTTATTACAAAACATATGCTGTATTGATATGAGTGCTTGTGTGTGTGTGTGTGTATGACACTTTTCATAGTCTGTGTGCAAATTGAAAAGCAGCGCCATGTAAGCTTAATAATTGGGACAACCACAGAGATTTTGTTTTTGTGGCAAATGGGATTTTTTTTTGGCAATTGCCTTTGCACAGTAATGTACTTTCAGGGCTTTCTCTGTATACAGTGGGGAAAAATATAGTTGAAAAATAAGTCAACATGTTCTTATTTTATAACGAAATTCATTGGATACATTTATGAAAGTATATATTGGAAAACTCTTAAGGGTTCTTCAGGTCAAAATATATACAACACCTTTGTTTGGAGTTTGACTTTAATGTATATGAATTCTAGTACATTTTTACGACTAAAGAAAATGTTATACATTTTATAATATTTTTTAAATGTCTAGAGGTAATGAAAATATCATTTTTGGGTAGTACTTTTCCAAATTACACCTATGATGACAGTGTGACCCACATCAAAGCAAGTAGCACATTATGGCAGCATCAACGCCTGCACGGGTGTTGGCATTAGCCTTAGACTGGAGCACTCGTCCTTCCTCAGACCCAACCCACCCACCATTACCGCAGGTCAACCAACTTTGGCCACACAACAGAATCACGAATGGCTTCCAGTCTCGCTCCTAACAAAGTGCAGCGCTTCACTTTTTTTGACAGACATTGCTCCCCAAATTTAATGTCAGCATTGCTGGCGTTGCCTTTGCCTTTGCCTTTGCTCAGGGGAAATTGTTGGTTCACGCAAAGAGAGAAAAAAGAAAGTAGCTAAAACAAAAAGAGAAAAACCAGGACAAAAAGTAAGGAGGAAATGTAGGAGGACATACACACTCACAAAAAAAAAACCAAATCGCGTATACGCCACATGGCCACACACAGTAAAGACAGGGGACACACGAGGGACTGAGGAGGGGTCTCCGACTGTCTCTGTCTGTCCCCAGTTGTACATGCAGCACTTTCTGCTCTAATAAATGAAATCAGGGAGCGTAACATTATGTGATGGATATATTGTTACGAGTGCTCTACTCCAGCATTTACTCCAATTCCCTGCTGTGCGCGCCTTTAATAGTTGATATTGTTTCGGTTGCATTTCCCATTTTTCCCTCCAGTTCTGTTTCTCTCTCTCTCAATTCTTTTTTCTTGTCGCGTAATTTTCCGCATGTTGCCTTCGAGCGGGAAAGCAAAAAAAAAATTAAGGCAAAAATGCAAATGGACAGTTGAATAATTGCTAAAGCTGATGAGTGACAAGAGATACATGCGCAATAACCAAGAAAAGCAAAAACTTTGCCCGATGAAGTGCTGATGGGACACTCCACGGTTCCCCCGAGTTGGGGTATAAAAACAATATTAAAAATGTATAAAACATATTGAGTAAAGGGGCTTAAAGGTTGGTAAAAGCTTTTCATTTTATTTGTTAAGAAAAAGACATGAGTTTTATTACACTGGCAATCCAAATATTTACACATTGTTCTAAGGAAGCATGTACACATAATATTTTCTTGCATAATTTCTTTCTGTATGTATTTTTAAATTCCCCCCTTCTTATGCAAATTTCACTGTTTTCCCCTACGATATACATCCAAGATTCATTTGGCTAGCTTGCACTATATATTCTAGAATAAATTTCCAACCTCGCTCCTCTCCAAGCCCAGTAAATGCCACCTACGAACCACGCCATAAATATCGTGTGCATTTTTCAATTTTTCAATTTCCTCTGCGTGCCGGGAAACGGGAGGCAAACGGAAAATTATTTATGGCATGCAAAATTGTTGGCCATAATAATGCATATCACATAGTTGGCCAATAAAATTACAATTGCCAGTTTCGGTAGGAAAACCGTAATTTAGTTTTGGCATTGCAATTCAATTAAGACGTTAATTGGCTCCGAGAAGTCGAAAAGGCAGGCTTTGGAATTGGCCAGAAATACAACAGCTCCGGGGGAAATAGGCGATTTCCTTGCCTGACTTGGCTTGGCCGAAAATCAGGAACCGAGCCGAGGCCAAATCAAGCGGCAAAACTTTCCCAACTAGTTGTGAGTGTGTGTGGTTTATTTAGCATAGAATTTTCCTGTGCAGTGTGTGGGATTGCCTGATAAAATCGGGGGAAAATAGGGGGGGATGCAGCTGTAGTCGTATGTAGCCCACTCATGTGCATGCCTAATGAAGCCATCAATTTCGTGTGGAACTGATGAACAGACATCTCCTAAAGACGTCTCTTTTCCTTTCACTCTCTCTGTCGTGGGGAAATCATCCTGGAGAAGGCGGGAAACTTTTCCGTCCAAGGATGAACTGAGGGCCAAGGGGCGATGACGATGGCTGGTCATGTACGGACACAGAAATCAATTAAGTTAATTTCCGCACGTTGCGTGAACAAGGGATTAAGCCTGGCGAGGGAGTCAATAAAACTTCATCGACATCCACAACAACAGGATGTACATAAAGGGCGCAAACTTTCATCAAGATTCGAGGCTGGAAATGGGGATAAGTATAGGGACAAGGACAAGGACGACCAAGCAAGTCACATCAAAGTCGAAAAGTTTAATTGGCTCGGCGACACTTTACAAAAGCACGCACAGAATCAATTGAGAGATGTCAAGGCAATCTATTCCGACAGGAATTTACAAGAGGAAATCTTTAGAAAGAAATGTGTGCTTAACTTAAAAATAAATCTATATATATCTCCTTTCAGATTGGCCTCTTGCGTGGTGGCAAAATGCTGGCCGAGGAATCACCGGATTACCTAAGGCAGCAGTACAATGCCGAGTCACTGGAGGATGTTTTCCTGAAGCTCTCCGTTATGCAGAATATGGGAAAACGCCGACGCTCCTCAATTGCCCAGGAAATTGTCGAGCAGGTGACCGTGCCGGCAATCTCGAATCCAGCTCTGGACATGTCAGATGAGCAACATGCCGCGGAGATATCCGGCGAGTTTGGTGACAATATCTCAATGTCCTCGGCAGCCAGGGATCCGATTACCACCACCACGCCGGCAGCTCCACCATTGCCTCCGGTTCAGGAGACACCTACATCGTTTTGGTACAATCTTCATGTGATGCAATCGCATCACCTACACGCCCTGATCTGGAAAAACTTTCTGTGGATGATGCGGAATGTGGGGTGAGTAAATGGGAACACTATGAGCACTCCCCTAAAAATAAAATCTACTACTTAAAGTATTCTGGCTTTCATACCGATAGAGTGAAGTACAAATTTACTTAAAAATACCCTCCATAAATAATATATTCTTCTAAAGACAACTTCTTAAAATAATAAACATAATCATAAACATATTTACTGTCCACTTTATACTAGATATTTCTACATAAATCTCAATTCAGAATATTGCCAGATTTTCCCCAATCCAAGGGCAATTATTTTTCAATTGCTAGCATTCCTCGCTTTACCTAAAGTAAGCCCCACATTTGCTGGGGCCATGCAATAATTAAGCAGCTTTTACTTATCCATCTATATGAATTTTCTGGGCGGATGGGGTATTTTTCCACAGGGTTATGCTGTTCATTGTCGGCCTGCCGGTGGTCCAGATACTACTCTTCTGCTACGCCATTGGGCATGATCCCACCGGACTCAAATTGGCCGTGGCAAATCACGAGATGTCCAGTGAAATGATTATGGAACAATTCTGCCCGGTGAACACCGGATGCAATCAGACGATGCTGAGCTGCCGTTATCTCGATATGCTGGTCAAGAACAAGAGCATGGTTGTGGTGAGTGCAATGCAAATTACCTACTCGACTTCACTATGTATCCCCTCCCCAACCCCATCCTCTATATCCAATTCCAATCCCAATACCAGTGGCAAATGGCAAAATGCAGAGATGCCCAGCTCAGACCTCGGGGGTGCAATATCAGCTGTCATTGGCTTTTCGGTTAAATTGTGCAGTGCGAACTTTACAATAACCACTCATGTTGCGTATATATGTATTCAGTGCCGATCCCAATACACCGGCCCTTCTGGCCACTCCTGTAATTTATTTCAATTTGTGTGGACAGTCGAGTGGATCCCCGGTTGGGTCCAAGTAGAGGCTACTCGGAGAGCCAAGGGGTCTTCAATCTACTGCACACATCATTTCGCCCTGCCGCACTCCTAAATCACCCCCCACATATACTTGGCTTTGTCTTGGCCAAGTCTATGGGAAAGTGTTGTGAAAATGGAGATTTTCTGGCCATCTATAGATAGTTCTAACATGTTAGAATGTATTTTATATTTAACAGGATATCAGGATCTGGGATAATTATTTTTAAGAGCTTTCATATTTATTGTAAGAATGATTTGGTGGATTTTGAGGCATCTTTTACTATCTTATCACACTTTTTTCAAGTCCAATTTAGCATCCATTTTTGGCATCACTGCGCCTGCTCGTTTTCCCTAGAATATGCGAAGGATGTGGCTGTTGCCATTGCCATTTCCTCTGCTGCCATTACTGCCATTTCTGTTGCCGTTGCCGTTGCCCTTGGTGTTGGCGAACACAAATTACAGCTGCTTATCTTTGGCACAGCAACAACAGGCCCAACGACTGTCGGCCAGTCGGTCGAGATCATCAATAAATTTACTGCCCTGCCATGGGCTGCGATGCGATGGCCAAAATAGTGGGGCCAAAAGCAAAGGCAAGCCAAGCCGCTTGTGGCAATTTATTGCAAATTACGCTTCAAAAACAAAGTCGCCTTTGTTGCCTAATTTGAGTTTCGTTTCGTTCCGGTTCGAGAGCTCCAGAGTCCTGCCTTACGATTTCATGCATTTTACATTAGATACTGGTAATAACCGTAATAACAGTAAAGCAGGACGAAGTTCGGGGGAGCATTTTTACGATTAGTTTGGTCAAAATCTTCATGTAAAATTTAAAGTTATTAACAGGTTGGCTGTAAATTTTCCGTCTACCTTCTCTAAGGGTTGAGAAACCGAGTCCCTAGTTCTGCGAATCCAATCAATTGTGTGTCCGCGAAAGGACAATAAAACAAAATCAGCATTGAGATCTCAATGTCCAATAAAATTATCTCGCCAACGGACCGTGACCTCCTAAACTTTTCCTAAATTTTCAAATAACAATATAATAAGGACCGCCACCGCCGCAGCAACGGCAGCAATAATAAGGGGGCCGCATGCCTCAACTGGCAATTTGTGAGGGGAAAAAAACTTTTTACCTTTGGAAATTGAAAAGCTGCCCGAGCAACTGACTCCCCCGCCATCAGACTAAATTTGTATAACTTCGGAGGGAAATGCGAAAAGAATGCCGAAAAAATAATACGCGCCGTGTATCTTTAGGCCGCATCAAAGAGCCGTTTTCAGCGAAAGGCGGAGCGAGGAAAGACCAAGTTAATTTTGGTCAATGAACAGCATATCAACGTGCCATCAGCACTTGGCCAGAACCTCCGCCCCCCGTTCACTCTCCTTCCCAGCATCTCAAATAAAAAGCCTTGAAGCAACCCTCGAGGGTGGGTCAGGGAAAATTTGAATTTTGCCCGTGTATTGATGCCAAAGCGTTTTGGGCTTTTCAATAGCAGTTTTCCTTACCAAGTGGCCTTCGCATTTTGGGGGTATGATGTACTTTTCGGGGAAAATCTCTGGGACCGCAGAAACTAAGTTTATTTAAAACCTCCTTCATTAACCTTATTATTACCAGGAGTCAGGTATTTTGAAAAGGAATTGAATAAATAAATAAGCTCTCAAATAAACATGCTAAAAATTAAGAAAAGAAGTTCCAACTACCAGCGATTCATAAAGGTAAACCTTTATTTTTTAATATAGTAATTATTTCAAGATAATTATCTTTTATTCGACAACTTGTTATAATTTTTATTTCAATTTTTGTGGACAGCTGTAAGCTAGAAATATTTTTTTTCAGGCTATGCAAAAGTCAACCCAAAAAGGAAAAACACATAATTTTCGATTCCAGTTTTGTCCCCCTCGAATTGTTTTTGGGTTTTGTTTTATTTTTGCCTTGTGGTTATATGTGTTGTCCTTGTACTTTTTCATGCAGATCAAACGCATTTCGGCTACCCTTGTCTTAACGATGCCAGAATTGGCCCAACCCACAAAATTTCCTAAGGGCTGCTTCCTGAATTGTTGCAGTAATGATTTTACCAAAAACTTCCCCCTTTAGCTGCAAGCCCCAAAAAGGGCTCTTAATTTATGGGGAAAATTGAAAAACATATTGTGGTCAGTTGATGTCGTTGTCGTTGTTGTCGTTGCTTCTAATTAAAAGTTCATCAGGCATGAAAATGTGGCTCATTAGTGAAAATGGGGGGAGTGGCGAAGAGATTTCATACTTTGATGATAAAGTTTAATAAATTATTTAAGAGTACGATATAAAAAATATGTAATTTTATTAGAAAAGATAGTACTTGAGGTTTATAATTAAAAGTAACTTCCCCAAGACATTAACAACAATGAATTGTTCATTAAATGAATTGTTCATTAAATGAAATAATATTAAATCTCTTGAGGTTTATTTATTATGTTTTTAAATAATATTTTATTATTATGATCCCTTTAAAATTCGCATTTGACTACGCTCCTGATACCACTTGATTAGCGACAAGCTCTTACCTCAAGTAAGTGCTCGAGTTTTGATGTTTTTCTTTTTTGGTTTCTTGTGGTCCCACTAGCAAAAGAAGGATTTTATGAGGCAAGTAAAGAAGGCAAAGTCGAAACAAAAATTGCCAAGGTAGCTAGGGGAAAGTTTTTCCACCAGCTCCTTTCAAGCTCATTTGCGTCGAGCTTCTGACCAAGTTGACTTCATTTACGCATAGTTTGTGGCTGAAGTTTGTCATAAACAATGTTGAAGTTGGGGTTAAATAGTAGCAAAAAGTTAAGCAAGTCTTGCAGTTTGATTGTCCGTTACCATGGCTTTGATGAAGGACCATTATTTCCCCTCTATAATTAATGCCAGGTCTCTAGTGGAAAATCAAAACCGAATCTAAGCTGAAAGTAGCTGTATAGCTTTGATTTCCCTAATACAGTTAGAGGCAGGAACTTTTATAAATATTCATAATGAACTTATACACTTTCTAGATAAAAACAAACCCTGCTAAACACAATGTTCCCCCAAAGATTTTTCTCTCTGCACCCTCGCACATCCCTTTCTAAGCCATAAGATCTAATGAGGCCAATTAAACCACATTCTGTAGTGTCTGTGCCCCGAAATCGGCAGGCGAAAGTGTGTGTGGCATTTAGGCGGCAATTGCGTAAATTTCACGCCTGCCTGGAGACGTCTGTGCTTATCCCCTTTCGGCTTAAATAGCTGCATATCGAAGCCGCAAAATGGGCCGAACTTAGCCCAAATACAAATGCCAATACACGCAGCCTAAGTTTTGTGGCCAGGACATTCCCTCGGTTGTGATTGTTGTGGTGGTGATGGTGGTGGTGGCTTCAGCATAAGTGACTGCCAAAAGTTTAGGCAAAAGTTTAGGTCGCCCCATTCTTCCCTCAATAAATGTGTAAGCACTTGCAGGAACTGACTCAAGATCCAGGGATGATAGTGTAGGCTTTCACTTCATTATTTATTTCGCCGGCAAATGAAATTGTTAAAGATAACGCAAACATATTGTTGACAACGAAAACACGGCCCGCAAAAAAGTAGGCAACGGAACGCAATGTAAGGCAACGCCTCTCCTTTGTTGTTGATTTGTTTGCCTCGCTGAATTTATCGCTTGGCGCAAAGTACGCACATTAATTACGGGGAGTTACTTTTATTGTTGCTACTCGTACAACAGAAGCAGAACAACGCCCCACATGCAGCAAACAATGCGACAGGAAATGAAGCGGGACGCACAAAGAGACAGCTCACAAAGCTGCCAAGAAAGGAAGTGCCCACGGGCAGGCAAGCAGGCAGGCAAGCAGGCACGCAGGACCCCATTTCCCCCCATATCCCATACTGCCTCCAATCCTGAAAGCCGAGTCCTGAAATCGCGACATGCGTGGCTCAATAATTCAGCGGCTCCAATTTTAATTGCACGGCAACAGAAACAACAAACAACGACCAACAATGGCGAAAACAATGCCCCAGACACACTCCGCATCTGTCTGGCAGGTGCAATGACTTTTTAAGCTAATTGAACGAGCATTTGATTGACTGTTAGCATTCGCCATCACCTCACTTACCGAAAAAATTGATAAAAATGTTTAAATCTTTTAATTGAAATTAGAGAAAATTGAAAAGGGAATTTAAATCAGTGGTTTTAAAGGTGTTTAGTTTTAGGGGATGTCAGGAAATTACTGAAATTAATTACAACAGAAATCAAAGAGGATTTAAGAGTTGGGAGGTTTAATTAGTTTGCTCCTCAGAAAGAAAGGAAAATAAACAACCCATTAAGTATTTTAAATCCATTGAAGGCTCAGGTTAAGAGTTTCACAATCTCTTATTTGATTTAAATTTAAAGTTCTGTTGTTTATAATTTAAAATATATATGTATTTTAATCTTATATATTTTAAATCTCCTTAGAAATATGTAAACGATGATGAATTAGCCTACGAGGAGGTTAGAAAAGGCAAAGCCTGGGCAGCCATAGTGATCCAACCGAACTACACTGCCTCTCTGATGGAACGCGTTGAGGATGGTCGCTATGCAGAGGATGGTACCATTGAATCCTCCGATCTGTCAGTACGCATGGATTGGTCCAGTGAGTACAGATAATCTTTCAATTAAGAAAATATATGAAAAATTAAATAAAAATCCCTCCCTCTAGATCAACAAATCTCCCAGCTTATGTATCGTGATCTTCAGTTTACATTCTTCAACTTTGTGGGCAATATGCTAGGCGATTGTGATTTGAACCCAAAACTAGGACATGTTCCCGTCGAATTTGAGCAACCCATCTATGGCTATCGCAATCCCAACTTTACGGACTTTGCCGCCCCGGGTGTGATCCTGACCATTATCTTCTTTTTATCCGTGGCCATAACATCGGGTGCGATGCTGATCGAGCGGAATGAGGGCATGTTGGAGCGTTGCCTGGTGGCGGGAATAACTGGTCCAGAGATCTTGCTTTCCCAGGTGGTCACCCAGTTCACCGTGATGCTGAGCCAAACGATCTTCGTACTTATCGTTAGCTTCTATTTCTTTGAGCTAACCCTGGTGGGTGATATATGGCTCGTGGTGGCTCTCTGCATCCTCAATGGTCTTTGTGGCATGAGCTTCGGTTTCGTCATCTCCTGCGCTGTGGACACTGAGCGAACGGCAACATATGTGGCCATGGGATCCTTCCTGCCCATCGTTATGTTGTGTGGAATTATTTGGCCAATTGAGGGTATGTTCCCGCTGCTTCAGTTCGCCACGGCTTTCCTGCCCCTGACCAAGCCCACGGAATCAATGCGATCGATCCTGCAACGCGGCTGGGGCATCGATAATCCCACAGTGTATAATGGCTTCATCTCGATTTCGTCTTGGGTTCTGGTGTTCCTCATCCTCACCATCTTGCTGCTGAAGTTTAAGAAGGGTTAAGCACATAGAGAAGGGGTACAAGAATTATTCATTTGAAAATGTAGTTTATTTTTCCAATAAATCGGGGTATTCTTTAGCAGTTAAGTGATGTATATGAAATCCAATATGTTTATCTTAGAAGCCTCAAGGGACTTAAGTCTCCTTTGATATAGTCAAGAATTATGTGATAATTCTGTTATCATGCTTTTTTTTTAGAATGCTTATTTGCTTTTTGACATTTATAAAGATTTCGAAAAATTTACAATTAATTTTTAAAACCAAATGGAATTGCATGTTGCTTTAGAAAACTAAACAGAATAATGAATTGTTAACAGCCTTTCAATAAGAAGAAAACAAACAACGAACATAAGTCCAATTTATAAAATTTTTCTGTGCACAAATCTTATGATTTTACTAGGTTTTAAGGGTAGACTTAAACTATCTTAACTAGCGACTAGTAAACTATCCATAGGTTCCGGATCACCATTTCGTTTAAGTATGGAAAATGTTGTGCCTTGTAAAATAAGCATTCACATGTCATATAAGTTACATTCCCATTTCGACACCACACACAAAAATACCCAGAACGCATCAAAGCATTATATATTTATGTTGTAAGCTTTTGAATAAATTGCGAAAAGTTTGAATAAATTGATAGAAAAACTTTTTGCCGAGATTTACCTTTTGGAAATTATTGCAGAAAGCTTTGCGTTCCGTAATTGTGATTTATTCACCTAGGAGGCAGCTCTCAGTCAGTGATTGCTCTGATTGCACTCGGTGAGCAAACTGGCTGGCAAAATGTTGGGCCAGGACGACCCAATCCGAACCCAAAGGCAACAACTTTGCCTGCATTGTCGAAGTTAGTGCCAAGTGGTCCTGTGGTCCTTTCAATCAGTCAATGCTTTTGCCAATATTTATTTACCAAGTATCTGCAATCAAAGACCTCAGAAAGAAAGGACCCTAAGCCTGGCCCACACGAAGAGCATTATTTTGAGGGTCCCTCCGGGAGGGGGATGTCGATGTGTCATGGTGGCTCCTTTTCGACACATTTCACATTTTGTGGCAAAATCAATTAAACCGGAAATGCATGTTGGACCCAAAAGTGACTGAGTGAGAGAGTGTGGCGCCACGTGCACCGGCGGGTGGGCGGTATCCAGCATCCGCTTAACACGAAAATTCAACTTAACAACTGAACAAAGTGGCAAGGACTCGAATGGTAAGAGTTCCCTCATGCAATGCAGTGGAAAAAAATTCACAGTATGTAATAGAAAAATGCTACTATCTGTGGTTAATAATTAAAACCAAGTCTTTAATAAATATTCTTTACTTTAAAGATCATTCCTTGTATTAAACTTTTACCCCTTTTCAACAAATTCAACCAAATAATAAGCTTATAAAATCTGTAAAATAATCCCTGCAATTTTTCTGAATGAAGCACACCAGAATCGACAAAAAAAATGAGAGACGCACACACAGAGGACGACTTATGCTATTAGGTGTTACATATGCATATGTAGGTCAGCCAGCATGGGGCGTGTCTGGAACAACACTAACTGGATCCACATGTCGTCCGGTTCCGTGACTGTCGATGCCATAGTTCAGACTCCATTTATCCGTTCGATGGCCAGTGTCCAATGTCCCGTGTCCAGTGTCCCATGTCCTGTGTCCTGTGTCCACTCTCCTCCATTGGTGGGCGTCGCAAATCAGTCAGTTACTGGGTTTCCAGTGGCATCCAGATCCACATCTCACTCCAGAATGGCGCACGAGACGTGTGTATTTACAATTAGATAACCGTCAGCAATCGATAACATTTCAAAAGCATCAGTCAGGACACTCGAAGGAGCCACATTTGCCATTATTTTTCTGGCATTCCGCTTTGGATCGGTGGCCGGACTTCTATATCCTCCACGGCGCCCATCATTGATTACTCAAGTGTAGCTGACGGCGGCACTCGAGCACATAAATTGGAAAATACAGCCAGGGCAAAAATCTCATTTTCATTTTCATTTTCATTTACCCATCTCCTTGGTGGTGCTCCTCCTTCTCGCCTTCCACATAATTGAAAGTTCAAAGTTTTCGACTTGCCGCTGAATTAATTTTTCAACTTCATAATTTCACGTGCTCCGTGAAGCTTTAATAACCTCCCAGAGGCTATCCCCTCGGAGCATCTACCATTATACATTTTCCATGCTCTGCCCATTTCCCGATTTCCTCGCTTCAGCGGAAAGCAGCAGCAGCAGCTGTCTTCAATGGCTTTCTTTGTTTGCGGCTGAAGCAATCTGAGCCTTTTCCCGCCATCAAATGGAAGGCCCTCTCCTCCGCCTCTTCAATGGTGTGTTAATTAATTGCTCAATTAATTTAATGTTCAGAATGCCCGCCATCCGCTGCGGCTCTTCAAAATGTCAATTGTCTGTTGCTCTTACTGGTTTGAATTTTACACGAAATGTCAACTTACCAGCCAAGGACTTAATCCCTTTGCTTTTCCTGTTGTTTTTATTTTTCAAGGCTAGGGTCAGCAAAAGCATGTAAATTAATAGCGGGAGCTGCTAAGAAAAAGACCCAGGTAGGTAAGCTTCGAGTGGGATTCCATCGGGCACTTGAGTGTTGGCAAAAGGACCATTCAGTTGATTCATGACACTCGATCCATCTTGCTCACTGCCTGCATTATTAATGCTCAATAATTAACCAACGGGCACTGTTAACTCATCACATCAGCCGAAATATCCTCAATTATTCAGACCCAATTAAAATGGGATTACTCAAGGCACAGTTCATGCAGCGCTCGTATGCACTTTATTATTTTAATGATTGGCATTAATTATTTGCGGTGCATAATGTGCAATTTGTTTGCCCGCAGCAAACGGCAAACAGAATTGAGACGACTCGTTCCATTTAATTTCTGTGCTCTGGTTGCTCGGTTTGCTTTGTCTGGCAAATTGTGTAATGAAAATGTCAATCAATTTTCCCATGATTTGCCATTAAAGGGAGGAACTTTTCCGGACAAGTCTACACCTTCGCTGGCACACACACACCCAGGCAGTTGTAGAAAATTCCTGTCGCACTCAATGCCAATTGCAAATTGAGTTCATCTGCTGGCGGCAAATATTGACATGACAGACACATTTTTATTTTATTTTATTTGCATTTTTATTTCACTCTTCATCCGCCCACTTTCTGGTTTATTTTTCGCCTTTTTTTTCAATTTTTCCACAGCATCATATTGTATGTGTGTGTGTGTGTGTTGGGGGAAAACCCCTTAACGTTTGCTCGGCATTTGCTTGGCTGTCCTTACGGCACTGGAAAGAAAAAATAAACTTCAAATGTGAATAAATATATACAATTTAAAGGATTTTATTATTTAATTAAATACTCCATAATAAATAAACTTACCTATTGAATAAATTCAATACAATATACGCTTTGAAAGTTTACAAGACAAAATCTAGGCAGAGTAGACTTCCCACATATTCTAATTTGTTTTGTGACATATCCTTCGAGTGTATTTCGTCCTTTTATCGCCATATCGTCCTCGTGCGTCTGTAGGTGGCAAAAATGACATATTAATTTCCAAAGGGGAAACGAAATAATATAAATGGAGTTGTCGCTTCGAGCTTAAGCGTGTAAGCCGTCTCCATGCTTCTCCCTAGCCATTTCAATTTCCCCTAGCTCTTTGCTTTTGCTTCGGGGCTTGGGGCCACATTCATATGCAAATTGCCTGGCAAAATCTAAATAAATATGATCAGGGAAATCAACACTTTGGGCGTGGCATCCTAGGTAATTGTTTGAGCATTACACCATCGCCACCATGGATGCTGGGGTGAAATTAAACCCAGGCGTTATTTCGGTTATTTCAGCGATTTGATGAAGTCGTTGGGCTGTCAGCATGGGATTCCCCCTTCATCAATCATCCTTCGATTTTTTCCAATACACCAGCATCAAGAAAGAGCTAAAAGGAGCAGAAAAGCACACACACACAGGTTTAAGTGAAAGGAGAAAAGCAGACAGGATATGACCGTCAGTCTGTCATTGAGTCAGTTAGCCAGCCGGAAGCCGCCGCCTCTGTCCATACCTCAATTGAAAAGCACTTTGGAAAAGGATAATAACGATAAATTTTTTATTGTAATGTGTCTTGCAGTGTTTACATGCCGGCTGCGCCTTATGGCAGGCAGCGAGGGTGGCTCTAAGGATATTAAAAGAAAACAGAAAGTTTCAGGATTATTCTGTTTAAAGAAAAGTATTTATAGCAGCAATCATTGTTGAAAACATAAACAAATTAAGAAATATACAATGTAGAAATCTTTCAAAAATATATTTTTTAATAAAGGATAATTCAAATTTGTCATCCTAACCTCGCCACCCATAACAACTGCCAAAATAGCGTGTATTGCCATTATTTTCCAAGCAGGGTCTGATGCCTTCGCTGATGCTTTTTCTAGTCCTTCGTTGTCCTGCTTCCTTCCTTGGCGCTCTCCCCCGATTTCCACGCCCCCCATTTTCCGCCATTTCCCACCATCCTATATGAGGACAATTTGCAGTCTCTGCCGACGTCGCTTTCATGCTGTTGCGCGCGCTTACGGGCAACACTTAATCGGCTTCCGGGGATATTTGGGATTTAGGGCGGAAACCTATTTGTGTCAAGACGCAGCCAGTGTTCTGCTCCGCTTATCCAGCCACGGCTCCTCCTCTACTACACTCCTCCTTAGCCTCGATAGCCTCATTTCCCTGCATTTCCCCCCCTACTAGCCCTTTGTCCCGCCCGCTTTTCATTTTAGGCATTTTCCTTTGGCAGCATATTTAGTCCTTTGTTTTGCCACAATTTGATGCTTGCTTTTTTACTTAGGCGTACTTAAAATTTATAACAAAAGAGGAGGACTCCATCTTAAAATGAACTACTTAGTTTTCCTTTTCTTTTCTTTTCTGTTATTTTCCCTACAACGGCTTCAGGGGAAAACATTACAAGAAAGAAGCCAATTCCGCCAACAGCCCGCGGGCTTGTTATGTACATAAATATCCGATTCTTTGGCTGCCGGGAGAGTACGTGATAGTGGCTGAGCAGCAAATGACACCAAGCCAAAAGTCAGCCAAGAGGAATTGGTAGACATATC